TGACCCCGAGTGATGACGAAGACGACGACGACGCACGGAACTTACGAGAGTTGCGGAATCTTAGGCGACAGGCCACGATCACGCAGCGGCAGATGGCTAGCATGCAGGATATGATCAATCAGCTTTCGAGTCAGCTGATGGCCACCCCAAATGAGAAGAGATCCCTCACGAAGCCCAAGATAGCGGCACCTGAGAAGTTCGACGGAACCTACACTGAATTATGGACATTCCTTACCAACATCGACCTGTACTGCGAGTACAATAGAGTACCAACAGACCAGGATAAGATCCTTGTGACAAGCACCTACATGAAAGGCAGGGCAGCCAAGTGGATAGAACCCTACGTCAAGGACTTCCTGAAGGACGCAGACAACCTAGGAACCAAAAGCGAAACCCGAGGAATATTCGGAAACTGGGACAACTTCAAGAAGGAAATAGGACGGATCTTTGGGGAAATAGATGAAAAGAACTAAGCAGAGAAGGCAATTACTCGCTTAAAGCAGACTAAGTCAGTCTTAGCATACACAGCAGAGTTTAAACAGCTATAGGCAAGAATTAATTAGGATAATGCTGCGCTATAAACCGTGTTTAAGGCAGGTTTGAAGGAAAATGTTAAAGACGGTCTTGTACACCACGAAAAGCCAGAAACGCTTCATGCTCTAATAGAGCTGGCCACGCGAATCGACCATAGGCTATGGGAACGATACGAGCAAAGAAAGCGCTCATTCCAGCCTACCCCGGCCAACACAAGGAAGCAACGTCATAGCAAAGATAAGGATAGCGACACTATTATAACAGGCAAGGTGCAAGAAAACAAGAGCCAAAACGCCTAAGGAAATCGCTAAGATAGCCTTTCTAAGGAAGAACGCTAGAAGCGTTATAACAACAAAGCATATCTCTAATGTGGCAAATAAAGACACTTTGCCAGAGACTACACTAACAAAGTTAAGCAAGCGATGGTCAAGATTAGGATGATTAGGTGCGGAACACCTTACCCACGAGATATGGAACCTAACGACACGCTAAGCGACCTGGACTTGTATGAGGAGGCACGACAGGAGTCAGACGAAGCCTTTAAGATGGTACAAGAAGCCGTAGGACTAAAGGACTTCAAGTGGGACGACCCACTGCCAATGGACCATAGGGTTGAAGGGGTAGAAGTACAACGCCGCCTAAGAAACCGACTATGCTAGATGTGCGGAGATGCCACACACCAGGCCAATAATTGCGCTCTCGAAGAACGAATCATCATCACAAGACCTAACTCTGAAGAGATTAGATATCAAGCAGTTCACGCGCAACCCAGCTTCAGAGATCCTAAGGCAGAAGTTAAAGAAAGGAGTACTCGCACGTTCAAGGAACAAATAGAGCAACACGAGCGCCTGCATTAGGTCGACTGTAAGACACAGTGCGACTACCACCTAAGGAAACGCGAAAGTACTAGGGACAATAAGGACGATTGCTACTATACGCAATTGTGGTACAATAAGTGTTAAGTAGATAGATGCCACATACACGCACAAGAAAAGCAGCAAGCACATTAGGAACTATGCTAGTTCTAGTGCAAGGATAATTGCGACTACTACAAGAAGCAACGAAGGAATGCTAGGAAGGTAGACGATTTCTACCACAGCACGATAACAGCGCAAGAGTGCACGGCAAAGAACTGTCGCATGCATCGCCGGGAGACGCCAAGAGTAACGACGACTCGGATGCAAGCCATATCAGCAGCGACAGCGGGACCGGTTCCCCACGAGTATATGCATTAGTCCTTCTGTTACGACTATGCATGCCAAGCGCATTTTAATGCTAAAATAGACAATGGGTGCTTCCCTAAGAGAAAGGGAAGGCAGTTAAAAAACTAGGATGCCGCTAGGGACAGGGTCACGCTAGTGTAGGCAGTCTGAAAACGACCTATATAGGAGTTAAGAGCGTAGGGACGCAGGATCTTAGACTCTAAGCGATAGTCCTCGTGAACGGACATCGTGTGACAGCGACTATAGACAGCGGTGCTGCACGAACCATGATCTCACCCAGGGTGGTGGAGATGCATGAGATACCCTACCGGACCAAGAAGGTGCCGATGCGAGCGGTATTAGCCGATGATAGCCCAATCGCGTACGGGAACGGCATGATAAGACTAGAGACCGAGCCAGTGCTAATAGATTTGGCAGGGACGGAAAGTCAAGAGATAATCAACATCATGGATCTTGGTGAAGAAGACATGTTAATAGGCTACGACTGGTTGTCGAAGCACAATCCGGCCATCAATTGGCGGAAACGAACGATACTCAGAAGAGAACCAGTGCACAAGGTTGCTGGAGTACGAAAAGAGACGAACCCGGTTATCCAGAGCTCACCCAAGGACGGGAGGATAGGTACGATCTCACCACATAAGATCGCGAGAATCTATGTGAAGGACCCTTAGAGAATAGGAGTCATTTAGATGCAGCAGGTCGCGACCACGAAGGAAGGACTAGCACCACAGTTGGCGATACCAACAGAATACCAAACGAACGAGTTTAGAGAACTGTTCGAGGAAAACGAAGCGACAGACTTAGCAAAACACTAGGACTAGGATCATGAGATCGTCCTCGAAGATGGAGCTAAGTTGAGCCTAGGAGGAATGTACCCTATAGGACCTGAGCACGACGCTAAGTTGCGGGATTACCTCTAGAAGAATTTGAAAAAGGGATTTATTAGACTAGGACATGGCCCAATAGCCTCTCCAATTCTGTTTGTAAAGAAGCCGAACGGGAAGTGGCGACTATGTGTCGACTACCAACAGTTGAACAACGTTACAGTTAAAAATTGGTATCCCTTACCACTTATAGGAGAGCTCATGGATCGACTCTAGGGAGCTAAGTGGTTTACGAAGTTCAACGTCCGCGAAGGATTCTACTAGATCAGAATCAAAGAAGGACACGAGTGGAAGACGGCCTTTAAAACAAAATATAGACTGTACGAGTATACGGTTATGCCGTTCGGATTGACGAACGCGCCGGCAACCTTCTAGTTAGTCATCAACAAGGCACTCCACGAGTATTTAGGAATCTTCGTTACGGCCTACCTAGACGATATATTAGTATACACCAACGGTACGCTAGAAGAACACGTTAAACATGTTAAGAAGGTACTGCGGAAGCTTAAGGAGTACAAGTTGTACTTACAGGCTAGCAAGTGCGAATTCTATACGAAGGAAACCAAGTACCTAGGCTTTATTATCTTAATAGAGGGTGTTAAGATGAATCTAAAGAAGATCTAGACTATATAGGAATAGCTAACCCCTAAAATAGTTAAGGATGTGCAATCCTTCCTAGGATTTGCGAACTTTTACTAAAAGTTTATTAGGAACTACTCCTAGATTACGACCTCTCTTACGGAGATTACGAAGAAAGAAGTTAGGTTTAAATAGACTTAAGAATGCTAAGAAGCGTTTAAGACGCTAAAGCAAGCATTCTTAGAGGCGCCTGTACTAGAGATGTACGACCTAAGACGAGAAACGCGAGTCAAGACCAACGCGTCAGATTATGCACTTGGAGCTGTATTGTCGCAGCAGTGCCTAGATAAGAAATAAAGACTAGTGTTCTACTATTCACGGAAGTTCTTAGGTGCGGAACTTAATTACAATATTCACGATAAGGAACTACTAGGAGTAGTCAATACCTTTAAACAGTGGGAGGTGCATTTGTTAGGCTTGCCCCACACGATCGAAGTGTTTTCCAATCACTAGAATTTAACAAGTTTCATAACAACCAAGAAACTCAACTAATAATAAGTCTAATAAGCTGAGTTGCTTGCTCAGTTTAACTTTAAGATCACCCACTAAGCAGGATCGCTCAACAGGGCAGCAGATGCTCTGAGCCGTAGGTCGGACCTACGGGAAGATGATCACAAGGAACCACACGATGCAGTATTCAAGCAGATGCCCGACGGCAGCTTGAGATATAACCAGCCGGAACTAGCTAAGGTAGCCAAGGTAGCCGCGCAGGTAGAAACCTTACAGCAGCAATGGCAGCAAAAGGCAGCCAACTGGCAATTCGAGCCCGACGCCGAAGGCTCCGATGAATTGTTACAGGACGAGCGAGAGTACCGAGATATGATTTCGAAGGATTGAACATATGTACCTCCACACATAAGATTAAGTCTTATTAAGGAATTACATAAGTCCCTAGAATATAGACATACAGGAACAGAGGAAATAGTTAGAAGATTAGCAAAGGTGTTCGCTATACCACGCTTGCGAGCGAAGGTGTAGGATACCCTAGGCAACTATTTAGCATGTCACCAAAACAAGCCCAAAAGACATAAGCCCTATGGCCTATTGCAGCCCTTATAGCCACCAACAAGACTATGGACTAGCGTTACGATAGACTTCATAGTAAAGCTCCCAGAATCGTTAGAACCTGGGTCTAACCGACTTTGCGACACAATATTAGTAATTGTAGACTAATTGACCAAGGCAGCGAAATTTGTGCCAACGAAAGAGGCTATTACGGCAGATAAGTGCGCGTACGAAGTCACGAAGGCACTAGTATCAGAGCGCGGGATGCCTGAAGAATTTATAACAGACAGAGATAAGCTATTTACGTCCAAGTATTAGGACACATTCCTGGCAAAATTAGGAACGAAGAAGAAGCTGTCGACTAGCTTCCACCCAGAAACAGACAGCCAGACGGAACGAACGAACCAGACTTTAGAGCAGTACCTAAGGATGTACGCCAACAAGCTACAGGACAACTAGGTTGAACTTCTGCCAACCGCGCAATTGGCCTACAATAGCTCAAAGTTAGCCACGACAAAGAAGTCACCTTACTACGCGAACTATAGGTATGAGCTAGTTGCTTACTAAGACCCTAAAGATATTGAGAGTATTGCAGTAGGAGTAGACAACAAAGCACGACTAATGCAAGAGTTGCATGTAGAACTAAGCAAGAGTATTGCTTAACGGAACCTTACAACAGCACGAGCTGTAAATAAGCAAAGGATTAAGGGACTAACCTTTAAGAAGGGGGACAAAGTTTTCTTGTTAAGACAAAACCTGAAAACTAAACGACTATGCAGAAAATTAGACAACCTCCAAGTAGGACTATTTAAAATCCTAGAGGAAGTTAGGAAAGTAAATTATAAGTTAGAACTCCTACTAGGCATGCAAATTCACCCTGTCTTTCATAAGAAACTACTAGAAAGAGCACCTCTAGACGCCGAGCTAGCAACGGATATAGAGCTTGAAGACGATGAGTACGAGGTCGAGGAAATCAAAGACCTACGGAAATTTGGTAGTTAGTGGAAATACTTAGTTAAGTAGCAAGGATGGCCTAAAAGCTATAACACTTAGGAACCTAAAGGAAACCTAACGAACTGCAAGTCACTAGTACGTGAGTACTATTAGAAACATCCACAGAGGCGAGAATTGGATTCTCGTAGGATAGGAAGAAGTCAAGGGACAAAGGATCGAAAGAAGAAGAATCAGCCTGTAACCAGCCTAGGTCAGTCGACTGTGCGGGTAGCGAAGGTCCGGTTGATGGAAGGTCCGTACCAGGGGCAGAGCTCCCCTCGGCTTTCTCTTTCGCACGATCCTGGAACTCCAGAATGGCAAGATCACGACGAGCGAAAGACCGCTCTCGAGATTTCACCTTCAAGAGTTCACGACGAAGACGCGCAGCGGCCTCCTCGGCCCGAGCAACCTCGAGCTCCTTCTGCTCACGCTCTTGCTGCACCTTCTCCCACTCTTCCTTAGAAACAAACAGACTACACTTAGCTTTCACGGAAATACAACTAGCGCAACGCCCAGTGGCGGTATCTACGAAACAACGAAGGTTCTTCTCTTCACAACGAGAACAGCGATAAACAGTCATCTCGTTCCCCTACTCTACTACACGATCAGCACGGGAATAACGCTCTTCGTTTGACTTTTGAGCGCGAACACGGGTACGGGAAGACGGGACCTTGGGCATGGTTAGGAAGGCTGGAGAGAATGGACGGAAGCGAGGGCCCGGGGCCCACCGACCTTATATGCAGCCAGCGCTTCAACACGCGGCACGGCAAAATGATATTCCAGGGTATCGGGACGATACACCTAAGAGGGGGGATAATGTTACTTGTAACAAGAAGGATTCTCTCCTTGACGCGGGATGACGGGGTTGAGGGCCAACCACGTCCACGTCAGAAGGTAATGGCTATCGCGGGGCTAAGAGTCACGTGATGTGCCATCCCGCCAAGGCTGGCCATCCAGGATGGCAGCGTACACTGGGATGGCAGTGCCATCACAACCATCCCGCCAAGATGGGATAGACGGGATGGCAGGACCTAAGGCAATGGGTATAAGAATGTGTTGGATTTCATTATTACACTCGTTGTGGTCAACTCAGAATATTTCATCTCTTACATAGATTGATACTAGTTATTCTATCTTAGTATAGAATTGATTGTTTACTCTTTTGGTTAAATCCTATAACTCTTTTCCATACGGCATACTACGAACAATCGCACGGCTTACCGCTTAAGTCTACTCGCCCTAACTCGGACCGAGATTAGAGAAGTATAGCCAAACCCCGTGTAACACTCTTAGTATTTATACTTATTAGTACTTATAAGTAATAAATATTTATAATAAACTTACTTTTACTT